CTGGGAGAATTTCACAATCTCCATTTAGAATGGGAGAGGAAAGGATGGGGCAGTTTGGGTGAGTGGAAAGCAAGTGTGTAAATGGTCTGCAGTTCTGAGAAGTAGAGATGATTGGGAGATGAGAGGAGTCTGGACATTCAGCATGAGGGGATGTCTTCATATAATTCACTTTTTTCCCCCAGTTCAGAACTCTCTCCCCTTTCCTTAGAACTGTGCTGAGTCTAGACGGCAGACTCTGGAGTCTCGAAGTTTGTAACCACTGTAGACTGGATAATCTTTACTTCGGAATGTTTTCTATTTTTTTTTTTTTTTTTTTTTGGTACGGGAGATTGAACTCCGGTCCTTGTGCTTGCGCAGCAGGTGGTGAAGCCACTGAGCTAAATCCCCGGCTGGAATGTTTTCTAAATGAATTTAGATGAGTGCTCACTTCCGCAGCATATATACTAAATGAATTTAGATGACTTTAAGGTTTTTTTAATGAGTCAACGGGTAGGTGAACTTCTATTTTGTCATCAGTTTCCCTCCACATCCATCCACAACTTTTGTGAAATTTCTCCTGTCAATTCTAAATTTATTGTGTTCTCTCCTCCATCCCAAATTACTTCCGTCCAAAAACAATCTCTTGGCCCATAAGCTTATAGCATTTGTTTGCATAATCAACACACTGCCCTGTGACATCTCAGGCTGTTATCTTTTCAGGTTTGTTAATTACTTAAACTATTTATTTGTACGACTATTAATTCACCCAGCAGTCATCTTTGGAAACATACACACACTGCTAAAGCACGGTGAAACTTGAAAATACCAAGGCAAGTTCTCTACCTGTGAATAGAATGAGGAAAACCTACACATAAACAGATTGATTTGATTCCACATAATAAGTACAATTATACGACCTTATGGAACCAAAGAGGAGGAACCAAATCCAACCACAGAGGAAGGGTCAGGAAAGACTTCATGGAAGTAGTCTGAAGTTGAATCATCTCAATTTATTTTTTCTTTTTTGCTGTACTGGGATCAAACTCACGACCTTGCACTTCCCAGGCAGGGACAGATCCACTGAGCCACATCCCAGCCTGTAAGCTGAATTTTAAAGCAGCTGGTCAGCCAAAGTCAGGGGCAAAGATTAAGGTGGGAAAAAATATTTCAAGAGCAGAAACTTCTTTTAGTTGAGCAGAGATGTGGAGGCTGAAAACAGTGAGGCATATAGGGGGAAATGTAAGCAGTTCACTGATCTAAAACAAGGTGTTGGAAAGGAAGTGGAAGACAATAGGGCCAGATCATGGAGGACCTTAAATGTCATGCTGAGAATCTTGAACTTGACTCTTTAAAAAACCAGAAGCATTGAGGATTTTAAAGGGAGGTGTCATGTGGTCAGATTCACATTTTTGAGAAACTAGCCTAGTATGGAGGATATTTTTTGAGGGGTACAATTCTAGTGGCTCAATGATCAGTTAAAGAGAAGAAGAAATAAATCAAGTGAGAGACAATAAAGTTTGGAATTAAGTCCTTGGTCATAAAGACAGAGAGGAGGGAGTAAATGGAGATATAAGTACAGGACAGACTGGCAGGACTTGATGTATAACTGATCATGGGAAGTGAAAGAGAAACCAATCAAAGATGGCTTTGCTGGCTTTCTGAATGCCAAAACAGGGTAATCAAATGTTTCTGAAAAAACCAGATGGATGCATCCAACAGACTGCTGGATTTTGAAGCTGAAGGGAGAGATCTGAACTAGAAATATAAAATTGGGAGTCTGGGCCGGGGATTTAGCTCAGTGGTTTCGCTGCCTGCTGTGCAAGCACAAGGACCCGAGTTTGATCCCCGGTACTAAAAAACAAAACAAACAAATAAAATTGGGAGTCACGTATGTAGAGGATATATCTAAAATCATGAAATTGAGCAGATTTCTCCAGAAGCGGGCATAGATAAACACTGAGCAAAAGATCCTGGGGGATTCACTTCTTACAGGTGGGCTGGGGAAAAGCTCACAAAGGACACAGTTAAATAATATCAGAAAAGCACAAGAAGAATTTGGAGTGTAGAATTTGGAGCATAGAGATCGAATGGAAGGAAAGAGGATGCAGCATTGTCAAAATGAAAAATGGTTATTGGATTTGCAATAAGAATGTCACATAAAGAGGAATTTCAGGTGGGTGTAGCTGGAAACCGGACTGCACAGGCGTTGAATGGGAAATGAAGGAGTGAAGTCAGTGACTATATATAGCCTGCTCTTTCAGGAACTTGAGGTAAAGAGGATGAAAACAGAGCTTAGGTGGCCTGTCTTCCAAGCACCTCACGAGAAAGGTCTAGCAATGTAATGTGTGAACATTGATGTTTAGTAACTATTACTTACATAAGTGTATCTAATCAAATAGCAGCAAACCTTTACACTTTTACTCAGTCTTTCTCTCTTGACCAATTTGTTTTCTTTTAAATTATTTCCTTTCAGTCTATTGAATTAGAAATGGTTTAGGTACTGAGAAGCTTTCCACAGAAATCTCTTTGTTCTACTTTTTGAAACTGGATTCAAGCCATTTCCTGCTTCAGTCATTATAAAAATAATAATAGTAGTTATTTACACAGTAATCAGTATTCCCCTGAAGCGCTGTATACATTAAACCTAAGTCATGGTGTTATGATCATCACTAATATTAGAGTAACAAGGTTGTGACGTTGTTCATCTCTGAAAAATCTGATAGTTTAACAAAGTTATAATAGATGAGGGACTGGGTGTTCAGAAATCAAGGGTTGGACTACGTACCCTGTGGGTGCTCTTGTGATGGTTATTAAATGACTAAGCAGTATTTCATAAGCCCTAACAGATGGGGTAATTTACCAGACAAGCATATTTGAAGTAAATGGATACAAAAGACTGACTTAAAGGACTCTCAGAGAAGCTTCAATAATACTCATACAAAACTATTTTACATGTCTAAAACCCCTTACAAGGGCCGGGGATTTAGCTCAGTGGTTTCGCTGCCTGCTGCGCAAGCACAAGGACCCAAGTTCGGTCCCCAGTACCAAAAATAAAAAATAAAAAAAATAAAACCCCTTACAAATCTGAACAAAATAACATAATTATCAAGACAATAAAGAAAATAGTCTTATTTAAATACAGTTTCTAAGTTTGCTATAAATCTGTTCTGAGTAAGACTTTGAGTTTTAGGGACTGGAACTTGTATCATAGAAATGATAAACTCCTCCAGGTTACAGAGGATTGCACCAGGGTGAAACATTAAGCTGATTCATCCTTCCTTCTGAAATCTTAGGCTTTGTTGGTTTAGTTTCCCCTTTGCTTCTCATGCCTCTCATTTTTGACAATCTAATCTTCAATGACTATTACTATGAGAAGCCATACTCGTTACTGTGAGAAATTAGAACTGTGGCCATAGGAAACATACTCATTCCAAAACATGTGCAAAGAAAAGTTCCTTGTTAAGATCTTTAGTAGTCTCAGGTATGCCTGAGATATAATCTCTGCTTAAGGAGTTTACAATTCAGAGGTGGAAATATGGTAGAAAACATCATAAAAGGGCAGATACTAATGATGCTGAAATGAATATGAGAGTGCAGGTATCTTGACATATCTATTTAAATTCACCTGGATATATATGCATAAGCATGGTAAATATCCAAGTGATCATATGGTAGTTCTATATTTAATTTTTTTTTTTTTTTTTTGTACCAGGGATCGAACTCGGGTCCTTGCTCTTGCAAGGCAAGCGACAGAACCACTGAGCTAAATCCCTGGCCCCTATATTTAATTTCTTGAGGAAACTTCATACTATTTTTCAAAATGGCTGTACATAATTTGTTTTTTTTTTCCTTTTTTATTTCAGTACCAGGGATTGAGTACCCCTACATAACCAGCCCTTTATATTATTTTGAGACAGTCTCGCTAAATTGCCCAGGCCGGCTTCATTGCTCGCTTTCTTTTTCCCGAACTCCGGACCTTGCGCTTGCCAGGCAGGTGCGGTGCCATAGCTGGGCCGGGGATTTAGCTCAGCAGTACCGTGCCTGCCTGGCATGCGCAAGTTCCTGAGTTTGATCCCTGGTACCAAAAAATTTTTTAAAACCCCACTATTCTAGCATTTCCCTGATGATATAGTACGCACCTTTTTGTATGCCCGTTAGCCATTCATTTGTACGTAATCATTTGGAAAATGTTCAGCTCCTTTGGCCATTTTGTCTGTTTTGTTTTTGGTACTGGGGATCAAACTCAGGACCTTGCGCTATCGAGGCATGCGCCAGAACCACTGAGCTAAATCCCCTGCCCTCCTTTGCTCATTTTTAAGTCTGTGTGATTTTTATTTGGCTGTGCTAGGGCTCAAACTCAGGGCCTCACTATATAACACATGCCCTAACAGCCCAAAATATTTCAACTTGTAATGTACAAGATGTTGAAAAACTTCCAGTTTCACCGTGAAATTCATAGATTAGGCCCATGGCAGACTGCTAACAGCTGGGGGGGCGGGCGGTGTCACAGGACTTGGCTCTGTCGCTGCCCAGATCCCAGTCCTTGCTCATAGCACCTCCCTGTCTCTGCCTGTGAATGAGAGGTGTTCTCACAGGTGTACCTAGTTCTTGGGAAATAAACATTGGATCTGAAAAAAAGAAAAGAAAAAGAAAAATGAAGACTTTTAGGATACATTTAACTCTGATTGCATTTTGAAATATCTTGCATATTTTGAAAAATGTGATCTGAAAAATAAATGCCACCTGCTTCTTCTTGCTCTGGGGATGCGGTGCAGAGCATCTAAGGGTCGCGGCGGTACCTGACACCGCTCTCAGGAAGCCTTGGGACTATGCCCAGCCAGAGCTCCCGAAACGGCCCGGGGCGCCCGGAAGAGGAGTCTGGCGGGCCCGCGGGGGCGCGGCGCGTGCGCGTGCTCGGCCTCACGCAGCGGCCGAGGCCCGGGGCGGGCGGCGCAGCACGTCCTCGGCTCTGAGGCGGGCCGGGGCGGGGCCTGCGCCCAGTTTATCTACGGCGCAAGGCCTCGGAGGCGCGCGGAGCCGGCGGGATGGGCTGGGGTTGGGGCTTGGTTCTCGGCCTGCTGGGCGCGGCGTGGCTGAGCGGCTCTGGCCGCAGGGCGGACGCGCCGGAGACGCCGGTGGCGCTGGGCTCGGCGGCGCAGCGGTGTTTCTGCCAGGTGAGCGGCCGGGCTGCGGGCCCCGCGTCCGGCAGGTGAGGGCTGGGCTCCCGCGCGGAGCGGAGTCCCGCGTTTCACCTGCTCGGTCTCTGCGGCGCCGTGGCCCTTCCTGCCGGGGACGCCCGCCCCGCGCTTGCTGTTCGCCTAACCTGGGCTTTCCAGCTTCCGACCCGGCCTCGCCTCTCTTCTGGCGGGGACGGGCTCGCCAGGCTGCTCCCAGCTCCCCGTCGGGGGACCGCGGCCTCGCGCGCCCCTGTGCCAGTCCTGTGCGCGCCCTTCCCCGAAGGCGGGGCCGCTCCCCGAGCGAGGCTGCCCTGGGGCTGGGCTGCGGGCGCGGACCACCCCGACTCCGCGGAGCCGAATTCGATTACAAGCTCGTTTTTCTGCTACTTGTTTCTGCAAGGGATGGGAATGTGGTACACTGAGCGAAACATTCGGGCAAACAGATAAACAAACATTGCCAGTTTTCCTGTTCCGGTACTGGAGATTGGACCCAGGGGCTCAAATCTGCTAGGCAAAGGCTCTCACTCGGCTCCATCCCCGCGCTCCTTTCTTGTTTTGGTACAGGGGATCGAAGTCGGGTCCTTGCGCTTGCGAGGCAAGCGGAACCACTGAGCCACATCCCCGGCCTGCTTCCTTTTTTGTCTTTTTGGTACCGGAGATTGAACCAAGGGCCTTCTCAGTGAGCCAGACCCCTAACTCTTTTTACATTTAAAGATTTTGACACGAGGTCTCTAAATCGCTAAATTGCCCAACATGGGCTCGAATTTGTGATCCCCCTGCTTCAGCCTCCTAGAGTGCTGAGATTACAGGCATACATGCATGTGCCTGGTTTCATAGAAACTACATTTTACACAAAATTGAGGGGGAGGTATTCAAATCAATTTATGTGGATTTTACTGTTTATGATGTAGTGGCATGATAGTATCTCACAGAGGAAAGAAGCGCTTTAAAAATTATGAGAGGAAGAGGTATTGTGTCTTTCACTGCTTTAAACTCTTGGATTTTGTTGGTTTAAAAATTTTTTTTGAAGCCAGGCATGGTGGTGCTCACCTGTGATTCCAGCACTTGGGAGGCTGAGGCGGGAGGATTGCCATGAGTTGGAGACCAGCCTGGGGTACATAGTCTAGGGCCAGCCTGAACTACAGAGTGAGACTCTTGTCTTTTAAAGAAAATGTCTTTTTTTGAGTTTTAATTTTTTATTAGTACATGTTTGCAGTCCGTAATGATTATGTTCTTTGTGGGGAGTTGGTTCATACACATAACATATTTCAGTTCTTTTTCATCCATTTCCCCTCCCTTTCGTCTCCCTCCCTCCATCTCCTTCGTCCCTTTCCAGTCTGAAAAAAATCGATCTCTACTTTATATGATGTTTTATTTTGATGTTTATTTATATTTTGAGTTTCTCATGTGTGAGACACCACTTGATATTTAAGCTTGTGTGTCTGATTTATTTCACTTAACATTATGGTTTCAGGTTGCATCCATTTTCCTACAAATGCCTCAAGTTTATCCTTCTTTATGGCAGAGTAGTACTCCACAGTGTATAAATACCACATTTTCTTTATTCATTCATCTATTGATGGACACAGATTGCTTCCAAGATTTAGCTGTTAACAAATTGTGCTGTTATAAACATGGGCATGTAAGTAATGTCTTTAACTCTTTCCAGAAGATACCTAGAAAAGGAAAAGCTGGGTCAAATGGAATTTCTATTTTTAGTTCTTTGAGGAATCTCCAAACTGATTTCCATAATGGTTGTACTAGTTTACATTCCCACCAACCATGTAGAAGCCCCCCCCATCCCTCCAGCACTTGTTATTATTTGATTTCTTGATGACAGCTGTTCTTTCTGGAGTAAGATGGAATCTCGGTGTCTCAGTGTCTCAGAGTTGCATTTCTTGAATGGCCAGTGATGTTGAACATTTTTTCATGTATTTGTTGGTCATGTGTACTTCTGAGAAGTGTCTGTTCTTTTAACTTGCCTATTTTTTTGACTGGGTCTTTTATTGGTGGGGGGGGTCCTAATTTTTTTTTGAATCATTTACATATTCTAGGTATGAGTCCTCTGTCTGAAAATAGCTGGTAAAGTTTTTTTCCGTTCTGTATGTCGTCTTCTCACGCTGTTGGTTGTTTCCTTTGCTGTACAGATGCTGTTCAATTTGACACAATCCCATTTGTTGATTCTTGGTAGTATTTCTTGTGCCATTGGGGTTCTGCTCAGAACCTATGCCTATGCCTGTGTTTTCAAGGGTTTACCTATTTTATCTTCCAGCAGATTGTTTCTGTTTTAACATTTAGATCTTTGATCCATTTTGATTTTAGTTTAGTGCATGGCGATAGATGGGATCTCCTGCATGTGGATTTTGTTGTTTTGCTTATGGATTTGGGAGTGGAGGTGATGTCTGGGAACCGGTAAAAGTAGTTGAGAGAAAATTGTTGCTTTACAACTGAGACCTTGGAAAGTTCCTTTACCTTTAGTGTTTGCAAACAGCACACCATCAAGGGCTTATACAGAAAGGTCATTTTTCTTCTGACTACAAGTACCACATGTGCAAAGGTCAAGCTACTAAAAAAATACATAAGGTAGAAATCAGTGACTTTAATGTACTCAGTAGTGAAAGAAGGCATCTAGTGTAACATTCTCAGCTATGTCCTGGAGATTTGGATAATGGAATAAAAGTACTGTTTAACCCTTCAGATTTTACTTTTCCACTCAGTAAATCTTTTTAGAGAGTTGCTTAAAATTGGATAACTTTTAATTTTTTACTTACATTTTTTTCTTGATGAGTGATGGAGCACCCCCCTCTTCACACTATCCTTAGATTTAAATATCCTCCAAACAAAAATGTGTTAGGCTCTTTTTTTTCTTTCAGAACATGAGTGGCTCCCTGTTTCTTAGAGTCAACTTTAAAGAATAGTAAAGTAGCCTATAACCCCAGTGCTCTGAGAAGCTGAATCAGGAGGATCATAAGTTTGAGCCCAGCCTGGGCAACTTACGACAGGCATGGTGCTGCACACTGTAATCTTGGCTATTCAGGCTGCTGAGGTAGGATTGCAGGTTCAAGGCCACCCTAGGCAATTTAGCAAGGTATCATTGTAGAAAGAAGGAAAGAAAAGGAAGGAAAAGGGAAGGAGGGACGAGAAAGAAAAGTAAGAAAGAAAGAAAAGTAAATTGAGGATTGTATTTTTCAGATGGGTTGGTTAACAGCTCCAAGTGAGTCTTTGAACTTGGTCACTTACTACATAGGCCTGTAAGTGGACATCAAATATTGCTAAAACCATTTCACTTTATGTTGTAAGTTCTTCTGATAATAATACTTCACTGTTAGTAGCTCAAAATAAGTTTACTTTCCACTGACTTTTAAATCTTCCTTATATACAGCCCTTTGCTTTTTTATAAATCATTCTGCTTTTAAAAAATACTTTAAAAGTTTTTACATAGAACACTGTCTCTTGTCCCCATTTAAAAGTGTGTATCTATGAAGTTTATCACATATATAGTTTATATAAACAACTGGACTTGTTCTTGCTCTAAACCAAAATACTATCTGTAGTATTTGTTGTAATATGTATAGATTTCAAGCAAATGAAAACTTTTCACAGTTTATCATTTGTTTTTGACAGTTACTGCCCCATTATGAATCTCTTAAGATAATGAATATAATAGGACTTTGTCCTAATTCATAGAATCATAGGATGTGTTTAAAAGAAATAACCTTAGAAGAAATAGAGAAGCCCAGATAAGGAGGCAGTATGTATATCTTTTGCATTAAACTAATTCAGAATGAGTGTAAATTCCTTTGCACATAATGTTTTACCAATTTTAATACGGCCAGGGCTCTATAATAATGCTTAGAGCCACTTGCTAGCCATCAGGCTCAGCAAAGGGGAATAGCTCAGATACTCTATCGAGGCTACTCCAAAATAGATTATTTTTAGTTTGAAGTACATGGTAGGCATCATCTGCAGACATATACTTCCGTAGATTTGACCTGTCGAATGTCTTGTTAGATCAATTTTAAAGATGGTTTTGTTAGCCTGAGTGGCTGGGCCATGAGAGACGCTTGTCCCTTTTTTTGGGTGGTGGGTGGAGATCAGCCTGGGATTAAAACCTAGTCAGAGAGATCTTTGAAACAGGTTGCGCTGGACAGGTGTCCTTCCATTGACTCGGAGTGCCAGCTCCTTTCGAGCTTTTCTGAATAAGGTGTGTGAAGAGATATTTTCATAATGGTTGCTGTCCTTCTAGTTGCTTGACAATTAAGTAACACTTGAGACTGTGAAGCCGTGATACATTCTCTGTCTTTCTACCTGGTGTAAGATCTTCGGCATTTCTCAGCTTTCATTGACAGAATTGCCCCAGTGCATATCAACACATGAATCATCTTCATGCCCTTCATCCTGCAGAGCTGCTGTTCTGACTTTTAATCCCCATCTCCACTTTTCCTCCTCCTCTCCATAGTAATCACTCTTCAATCTAATCTCTGTTTTAGAGTGCTTTCTCACCCCCCCCCATTCCATGTAGGAGCGAGATCATGCAATATTTTTCTTTTCAAGTCTGACTTATCTCACCTAGCACAATGTCCTGCAAGTCTCTACATGTTATGGCAGATTTGTGTGTGTGTGTGACATTTTCTTTATACATTTGTAGGCAGGCATTTAGTGATCTCGTGTACAACATGAGGACTGTCGTTAATAATCGTATATTGTATTTAAGATTTTTGCCAAAAGAGTAGATGATAGCTGCCCTTGCCATGGTGGTAGGGGTATGAGGTGGCTAACTGTGTGAGATGACAGATATGTTAATTTGTCCCATTGCTATATAATTTTACTATTTATATCTTATAATATATTGTAGACCTTAAATATACAAAATAACATTTTTAAAATTGTTCTTTTTTTTGGTACCAGGGATCGAGTCCTTGCACTTGCAAGGCAGGCAGCAGAACCACTGAGCTAAATCCCCAGCCCAAGGTACATTTTAGGTATACAATTCATTT